ATTTCCCAGAGTTGATGTGTTTGATTTTTTTATGTCTCTGCTGCTTCATGGGTCTCACTTTACCACACAAACTACACAAAGTCCACCAAAGCCCGCCTTATCTACGCTCACAGGCTCATTTTGAAGGCCGAGTGGGTACATGATGGGGTAAAGCCTGCACAGCTTCCCATCACTGTCCTTCCCTCCCTCATTCTTTTCCTTGATCTATAACCTCCTGCCTCTCCTCCTACTGCGTCTCGCCGTTTTCTCCGGAGATGATGCCTTCAGTGCAAAGCAGTGTGCGAAAAAAAAAAAGAAAAAAAAAATCTGCTAACACTGACCAGATTAGAGAAAATGGCGAGATGTGCTCGGGCTTTGGTTAAGCCAGAGTTCAGGCATTGTTTATCCTCCCAAACTCACTTAAGAGGTGACTAGCGGGGGAAAAAATGATGGGGAGAGGTGTTTACAGAGAGGGTGTTTGTCTGAAAAAGGGCTCTCAGATCTGCCAGGTTAACGATTAACTCAGTCTGAAGTAGGTCGGCGGCTAAAAGGCAGAGGTAGCTCTGCTGATCCCCAGCATCCAGAACTAATGCCTAGGTGGACATTAAGGGAGTAAAGTGAGTAGTTAGCGACGTGTGAATGCATCTCTGGCCAACTAGGAGGGCTTTCCATCCCCCACTGTATTAATGGATTACCTGAGCAGTTGAAGAAGAGTAAGGCGGTCAGTAGTGAGACAAAACTCCATAACAGACCTACCCCCCAGAGCAAACAGGCTGAGGTCAGAGAATCATGACCACAAAGCATCAGTACTCCCACTTTTGCTTCTTTTGAATTTCACTGTTGAAACTGTTTTGAATTTCACTGTTGGGAAATTTGAAATTCACTGTTGGGAGATGTGACAGAAATCTAAATGACACCTAACGTGATCAAAATAAGGACTTCACCCCAAAGTTTTATTCATTAAAAAAAAAAAAAAAAACCAATATTATTTTAACAGACTTTGCTCAAGCAAAACAAGTTTGTTGCTTTGAATGAATTTATCCTGCCATATTATCCAATCACATCAGGTTTAAAAGCACTCCAACAACAGCTAGAGGAGTGGTAACCATTGTAATACCAACCGTTTCCATAATATTCAGAAATATTGGGCCAATTATTAGATGAAATTATTAAATTGTTAAAGTCTGTACGAGAACCTCATTGTTAGCACATCAGCAACATAGTGAAACACACTAAACAAACTTGCCTTTGTTCTGGTGTATAGTCTAAGCAGAATGTTTGTCTGAATATTGTTTTTTTTTCTAAATTACAATTGTCTACTGGAAAGGAGCGATTAGATTATTAGAATGATTGATTTTAACATTGATGCCGACGTTAAAAATGGCAGTATGTTGTCCTCACTAGAATCAATATTCGTTTTTCTGACCCGGCTCCCACAACCACAGGCTTGACATGTGCCCTTGACATGTGCCACAGAACAAAGGATGCTGTTTGATCAGAATCCTTTCTTATCTGGTCACTTTTGAAAATACAGAATGTGCGGTCAAACTCTCTATGGAATCTGATGCAAGACTTTTCACTCTTGATATCATTACTCGGCCAAAAAAAATATGTTTTTATTAAAGATTGTCTAATTATTGTACAGCAAAGCTTCAATCTGTTAGGCAGTCATTGAGATAACTGGCAAGGAACCAGATTTCTAAATCAGCTAAAGCCCTGTGAAAGACTACATCCAAATTCATTCAATTGTTTACAGAGGATTCTTTTCTGCCCTTTGGCCTGAGAGCCACTGATCCATCTTTTTAATGTATACTCCAGCAAAAGTGATTTTATTCATTTTTCCTAGTTTTCAACCAATACAACTTTATATCAAAGCGACCAAAGTCACCTATAATGTCTCAGGGTGAGATAAAACTATCATTTGATTTGTATTGTTCTCCCCACGTATGCGTCAATTCTCTCTGGGTCCAAAAAATGAGCAAGTTAGGCCAAAAGGAAACCCTAAATGACTATAGGCATGAGGATGGTTGCATGTCTTGCTTGTCTCTGTGTGTTCCTCTCAATGGGTTCCAGAAACACCCAAACCGGAATAAGCCAGTCCACAAAATGGATGGTAGATTTTACAAAATAAAGAGAGATCTAATGTAGAATCCTGTTCACTATCTTTTACTCCCATGAACGTTTCATTAACATGTCAGTTGGACCCTTTATCAACCGGACACTGTGAGGTTGTAATCTACATGTTTTCACGAGATAAGACGATATGTACCTGATGCAGAATATTCATGTTTGGAGTTACTTTAAGACACATTAGCTGCTTAACCACAGTGAACCTTTCATGCTGGTATCACCCGCTGATCATTAGAAGTCCTCAGTTCATTTGCCATGCCAGTGATTCTCCTTCCAATCAGTGCCTGATGCAGATTTACAGCTAAATGTCTATTTGTGGGTACTATCTAGAGTGTTTTAGCGTTCACTGTGATGATTTATTAAGTGGGACGTAATTACACAAATTCACTTTGGATGCGATATTAGTTTATGGTGACAAATGGGACTTCGTGATTTATCCTGCATTAATGCGCACTTTAAATCATCACAAGTGAAGAAATAATTAAAGACTGTGTATGCTTTGTAACTTTAGAATGAAGTGTCAATAAATATCCTTGTGGTGTAGTACTAAAACAATGCTACAGAAATACAAAACACCATCTAGGCAAAAGAACATAAATTGTGCTTGACATTCTATAAAAATATATATTTTTGTGCTTCCTTTTTCCCTTTCTGGTGTAAATGCCTTTTCAACATTTGTGTAACCGGGTAAAGTCCATGAGTGTGTGTGTGTGTGTATCTGTGCATGAACTCAGGCTCCGTGAACATAACACATCCCCGGGGTGGATTCATTTTCATGGCCTGGTGGTGTGGCTAATAGCATGTTCTAATTAGCATCTTGTTCAAATAATGCGTTTCTGAAGTCACCGCGTTCCCAATCAGGACCCCAGGCGTCAATAACCCCACAAGCATGTACACACCTACACACATCTCAAGCCAAATGTGTCGGCTTGTACGCTAGAGAAAGGGGGGAAAAACATCTTCTATTCTAACCATTATGAGTGTCAGATTTTGGTCGAAAACCAAAAAGGAAGAGGACAAAAAATGTAGTATGTGCCAAAACTGGACAGGAGACAAAAAAATAAAACAAACTGATGCAATGTCAATTCTTCTTTACTGTTTGGTTCATTCTAATGTCGGTTTGTTCCACAGTGTTTCTGTATCATGTGGGATCATCGCTACATAACAGAGCTTTTACCTCCATTTGTGGTTGGCGTGGTGACCCGTGCTCATGGAGAATTATTCCTTAATTTGTGTTCCTGAATGACGGGATCATGCCCGTTTTTGATGTGGATGTGGTTCCTTTGCAGACTGACTTTTTATTTTATTTTACTTCTGAGACTCTGTTCTTGATATCCCACATTATATTATTGGTCATTTGGCAGTTTACTCATTTTCTTCAGAAATATTCCTCAAACAGTATTTTAAAAACAAGTATCGTCATAATCTTGGTCCCACTTCCTTTCCCAGAAAATATAAACCGTCTCACTAAACATTAGAAATGCTCTGTTGTGAATATTAATCTGGCTGATGAGATGTGCAAAGCACCAAATTTGGTTTCTATTTGAATATAAAGCATTCATACAATAATGTCTGTGTATTTTTTTAACTGTGGAACATTTGAGAGAGCAACAGCTACCAGAATAAAATATACTATTCTTTGTATTGCAGCACTGTTTTTGTAGTCTTTAAAGACATTTGCAAAAAAAAAAAAGTGTTCTCCAACCCCATCTCAGACACCCAAAAAAAGTAGATCAACTCCACCCAGTCAGGACGCCATGAACTTTCCAACGCTAGATGACACTGTTGCACCAACACTAGCTCATTTTGCGAGCATTTGCAGTTCGCATGGAACAGATCTGTGAGCTGCCAATGAATGAGGAATAGTTTTCTTGGTTTATCAAGCAAAAAAATATGGTTAACGTTATGTTTGCAAGCTTGTCTTTGCGTGTTATGCCATTCCTGATGTTCCATCCGTGGAAATGATGGCATGACCTCTTTCCTCTCGCAGTTTTCAGATATTTACCACTTACAGGGCACCATGGATCCGTGCAAACTGTGTAGCACGGTTTGGTAAGCCTGGTCCAAGCTGCAGGCCTCCTCAGTCCAGCAGGAAGCTGGACGCAGAGGAAGCAGCACCAAGCATCATCCTCACCCCGGGCGGAACCCCAAATCGAGCCATCCATTTGTGGGGGGGACAATACATTTCAGAAACAGTCAGAGGCGCTTATCTTGGGTAAATATTTACTTCCCGGGGTTCCATAAAAAGCAGGAAGAGCCAACACTAACACAAGCAATGCCTCGTTTGGGAATTTCCATAGCTGATCAGTCAAAAAAAAAAAAAAAGAGGAAAAGAAAATATGTAAATTGGTGCGCTTTTATGTGCCACATTTCAATTGCTGCCAAAGTGTGGAGGAGCAAGAACAACAACAACAAAAAAACCTGCAGTCTGTTATGACGCTGTTTGCGCGCGCACGGTCGCGCGCACAGGTATCAGGGCCCGTGATAAAACTTGCCCTCACGCTGTCGCCCCGGGGGTTGCGTGACTCTGGAAGGGTGCTACTGCTCAAACCGATAATTTTCCTGGGAGCATCAGAGTAAACAGCCCGGATATAAAAAGCCTGAAAGGGGAACCCCGCTCTCCAAAAAAAAAAAAAAAAAAACAACCCACCAGACGTTAGATGAACGCTCTGGTCACACACCACTCCAAATGAAATAGTTTTTTCTACGTTTAACAGGATTCTATCATCTGTGAGGAATTATTCCTTCTTTTCTTAAAGTTTTAAAGGGCCAAAAGGGAACATTCTGTCTGGTCCCTGTTTGGCTTCTTTTTTTTTTTTTTTTTTTTTTTTTTTTTTTTTGGTTGGTGGCGTGCTCCTGAAGAAGTGGGCTGGTTCTGTGTGCCTTGGAGCCTCGAGAGAAAAGGAAGAAGAGGAAGGAGAAGAAGAAGTTCGCACCAGTTTTGCCTCCAATCCAGTGGAGGTTTGAATAGCAGCGGCGCGGCAGGGGAGGGACGCACTGCCAGCAACTCGGGATACCCACTCACACACACACTCCCTCTCTCACACACACGCTTCTGCCCACCACAGACCAGCTCAGTCCGCGAGAAAAAAGCTGCAAACGCGCACCAGAGACCGCCGTTTTCATCCGGTTTCATACACGCGTAAAAAGCGGAGGGGAACTACCAGAGACCTGGGGCTTTAAAGCATTTTTTTTATTTTTTTTTTACCAAATCGTCTTAGTTTTCCTTGTGCTTAATTTCAAAGGAGTTTTTTTTCTTTCTTTTTTCACGGAGAGAAGTAGCATCCTTCAGAGAACGCCGTCTCTTCACATTCTGAGAGGTAAGCCTTTTTCTAATGTACACATCCAGTTTTTTTATCTTTTGGTTGATTTTCCTTTTGCGAGTCTGATCCGTACATTCAAGGGAATATCCTTCCTTGAGAAAGCGTTTTAAACTTTTCATTTGTTTTCTAAAGACACGCGCAAAAAAGCCGACCACAGCCGACGGGACTCGTTTTCCTTTCAAGCGTCTGAAGGGGAGAAGAGGGGTTTTGCGGTTTTTACAACTCTGGGAAGTTTCTAACGCATTACCAGCAAGCCCTAACTCGCATTTAGTTGTTGTTTCCATTTTTTAAAAACATTTTTTCATTTTGATCGTATGGCCACGGCACGGGGGTCTGAGGTCAGGGGAAACTTTTAGGAAATCCTTTTGCGTCCTGGACGGTCTCCGTACGTGACACGGCACCCGCTGAATTTATTCATGCCCGATGTCTACCTGCCATCGCGGTATGCCCTGTAGCTCTGCTCTCCACTCTTAACTTTAACTGCATAGTCCCTGAGTGCAGTACGGAGAAGCAGGAGAGGCACCGTGTCACCCGTGGGTGCCTTTACGCACCTGTGAGAGCCCGGTTAGACGTCAGTGGAGCGCCTGATCTGGCTCCATTTACTTCTATGAATGAAAAACAGAGACATATCTTGTTTTTTTTAATGCGTTCAAAAACAAACGATACAGGTTTTGCTCCTGCTACCAGCTCTCCTCCTCCTCCTGTCCGTGTCAGAGCTCCTCTGTCGGTGTCTAATGAGAGACTGACAAACCCGGAGCGAAGATGGGAGTAATGGTCTGTAGCGGCTGAGTGGAGCCACACTGCCTCCCCTCTCCTTTCTCAGGAGGATGAATCATGAGCGAGAAGGAGAGGAAGGGGGGAAAAAAGTCTTGAAATGGGGAAGGTCTGCGTCGCATACCGTAACTAAACCGTGATTTGCATATGAAAACTCTCGGGCTGAAAGAATTCCGACAGTGTTGCTTGCGTCCAGAGGGGTGACGGGCTTCAGTGGACGTACTGTCCACTGCCTGTGGTCACTTCTCCAGAGTCAGCGCGCACGGTTTCTCTTTAAGTTTCTTTGTTAAATTATTCAACATATCCCATCCACCCATTCAACAACACCCCCCACCTTCCATCCTCTCCCCAGCGTGCTCACTTTGCAAAGCCCCCCCTCGTTGTGCTCCCCCATTCGGACGCAGGCAGAACTTCTGAACGGGCTTTTTTTTTTTCTTCTTCTTCTTGTGCTCCACTTTTCTCCGGGCTTCACCCGAGCACGACGCCTGGGAGGATCGGGATGGACTCGTTTCCCACGGACGTGCGTGATGGGGCAAGTGGGTGGATGACTTTCCCCATTGGAGAAGGGGTGGGGTGGTTGTTGAAAAGGAGGGGGGGGGGGGCATTTTCTCTCTTGTAATCTATAATCACCCTAACAGTCACAATGGCCACACATCAGTCAGAGTCCCCCGGCCACTCCCCCTACCCTCCATCCCCTTCTGAATGGCCTGACCCCTCTTCATAGAGACATTCCAGGATGCAAAAGCAATGTCCAGGGTGCGAGGATGGGGGGGGAGTTAGGAGGAAACTAGCTCTTCTCTCCACGGTGCTTCTGTGCCAGGCTTCACGGTTTTGAAACCCAAAGCGCGAGCCATGTTGTGGATGGCGAGGTGACAGGTCCCGAGTCGTGATTTAGACTCACGCACCGAGCGGGAGAGGGGAATGTGTCGGTTTGGAAGCGCTCACCACAGATAAAAAATCCTCCGTTCCTGGACCGGAGCTCTCGCCGCAGTCTCTACCAGCTCATTAATGAGATGTTCAGCCGTCCAACAGATCCAGGCCCGGTCTGGTTTGGTTTGGCCTGCCTCTAGCGCAGGTCCAGGTCCTATGCGGTTCCATTCCTTGGCTCCCCAAAAAAGCCGTAATCCCCCACATTGGCCCTGCAGTGACAGGCGCTGATGGAACTCTATCGAGGACTCGCCATAAATCTGCTCCCAGAACAGCTCTAAGAAACCACACGGAGGCTTTAGGTCTTTTCCGGCCCATGCCAGGCGTCTTGTTGGGGTGGAATCTGAAATGTCTCTTTATTTGTGTTGAAATTAAACTGTCTTTTTTTACTCCCCTCCTGTTCCGTTAATGAGCTCCATGTGGCAGCAGGCAGGAGGCTTATCCATCTTGACAAGGAGCTGGAGGGGAAGGGGAAAAAAGGGTTTTTAAAAAAAGGGGAGGGGGAAAAAGAGTGGGCCGGGGGGGGGGGGCAGTTTCATCCGCTCAGGCCGGAGCACATGCGTGCGTCCACGCGTGACAGGACGCACGGCTGCGGTCTGCCTTATGTTCGGGAGCACCCCACAGAAAAAAGGGGGATTTGTTTGCCCGCAATCAGTACAGAAAGACGCGCGCTCGGAGATCAGGTGGAGGGAAATCGTGGCGTGTAACAGATATTTACCCGCTCTCATCTTCAGCCCACAGGGAGGGATTTGAATCTTGCTGTGGATTGTTGTCACTGAAATGATTGCATCCATCTGGGTGGTGTGTGGAGGGGGGGTATGTAGATACAAAGTGTGAACTTTTTTTTATTTTGGCTTGATTTGCTTGTAATGACCTCGGCTGGGTCAGAGTTGTGAAGGCAGAAGTTCTGCTGACATGTCCTTTTTGCAAAATAACAATTTGGGTAGATAGTTGATTATTTTTTTCCTGGTGTTCCTTGATTCTTTCTTTTAAAAAGGGCCTTGGGAAAACAAAAAAAAAAACACAGTTTATTACTGTTTCCACACCCTGAAAAGTCCTGCGTTTTGTCCTTTAATCTATGCAGCTTTGTACGTTCGACAGCTGTGCAGTCAGAACGAGACGTTTTTCCGGTCCGCAATCCCAAGTAAATCCCACTAAAGTCAAACAGAAACATGTGAATAACCAGATATCAAGGACCCGCAAAACAAAGTTCACACGCTTTCGGGTTACTCTGACTTTAAGACAATCTCATCCACACATTCGCCCACGTTTGAATCAAACTGAATCTGATTCCTTTTGGACGGCGTTTTATTTCCGGGTGTTATTTGGGCCGTGGGTGGCGGCTTTTTGTGGCCTGAGAGTGGTGCTGACACCTCTCCGGTCCGTGACACAGCTGCTCTGATATTCAGATGTCATCCCCCCCCCCCCCCCCCCCGAATACTTTTCTGAAAGATTGATTGCTCCAGTATGTGAGGTCGACGTGTCATATGTGAGGAACACATCGAAGGCACCCGTCGAATGTGCTAACGACAGGGCCGACAAAAACCCTTTAGCACGATGGGACCAGAGTCAGATTGGAGGCTGGGGGGGGGGGGATCGGTGTGTCTGTGAGGTGTTTGGAGATGCTTGGAATGAGAGACAGCCCTGAGCAGCTATGTACATACCACCTCAGAGCCGTCTTGAGTATTAATAGACGCGTCTTTGTTCTGACTGACACGCTTTTTTTGAAGTGGAACGAGACAAGCCGCAGCGATAAGGATCTCAAACCCCTCTGTGTGAGTCAAACCTCAAAGTACCACTTAAGGCGGCTTTTTCTCTTTTTTGCTCTCTGATGTCTGGCGGCATGACGGGAGGCCAAGACATTGACACAAGCTGTCAAGGGATCTTTTCCCTTTGCTTGTGTTTTTAAGGCTCCGTAAAGGAGAAATTAACCTGCACTTGTGGGCGTGGAGGTCCATCCAGGCTGGAGATGTCGGCTTTCACTAATCTCTCCCTGTTTTTTTGAGGGGTAACGATGGAGGAGGGTACATAAAGAGGAACTGAGAGGGGAATTGTACGTGTGCAGAAGTGTGAAAGAGATTATTTGCTCAATGAAAAAAAAAAAAACAGGGGGATCACCGGAAAGGGACAGACAAGTGAGGGTGAGCGGAGAAAGGGAGAGGGAGAGAGGGGTCGTTAAAAGGACACCATCTCACTTGCAGTAAAGTGGCAGTAAAGTATCTGGCTAATCTGCCATCATTACGCTGATTAAATCACCGGGGATTTGGCATTCCCATCAGCTGCAATCAATGGGGCAAAATCAATAGACGGGGGGATACGTGAGAGGTTCTTCAGGCCGCTTCCACTGTGGCCCGCACCAAACTATTTTATATCAGCATCAATAAAACTTAATCGACACGGATCGGGGGGATTTTATGTAGAGAGTTTTATGAAATACCACGGCGTGGGCCCCCGGAGCACTAAGTAGTGTCTTCTCCTTCACACATTCCTGTTTAAATCTAATCCCTGCTTCCTTTATGTGGCAAGCGGTACTCATTCACCCTCCGTGTTTCTCGCCGTCTCATTTACTCACACGCGGTGATTTGTTGCAATGGCCCGCTTTGTTGCATGTCAAATAGGGATAAAACTAAAGGCGAGCAATGGCAAGAGGACGTTTGGACGTGAAACGGGATCCGTAATAGGGAAAAATGAAAGTGCAAGTCCTCCAAACCAGGCAGCGCCAAATAGCTGTAACTCAATGGAAATTCATTTTGTTTGACAATAATAAAAATGAGCTCTGGCGACCTGTCAAGGGTGTACCTTGCCTTTTTCCCCATGGAAAACCGGTTTAGCTCAGCTCATTTGTGGATAAACGAATTACGGATAACGAATGACCCAATGTCAAAATGAGGGGGAAAAGACTACAACATGCTGTTGAGGGCTTTGGTCACAAAATGTAGACATTTGTTGCATCGCCACACAATATACATGTTAATTTATGGCCTGCTTTAAATAAACAACCATTATAAAAGCTGAACCCTTGCATAAAACTGATTAAGCCACTGTCAATTGACAGATGCTCCACTTAATGCCAGTAGTCCATTAGCCTGTCATGGCTTACGGTTAGCTGAATGAAGACTTGAAACATTTTAGGAAACCAACTTGGATGACAAGTTATCCTTTTTTACACAGTTTAACAACATCCTTTATTAATTGTATGCAGGTAGTTTGCTTAAAAAAAAAGGAAATTGCTGATTGTTGAGTAGTGGTAACCCCTACATGGACCAAGCGGCTATGGAAAATGAATGGTTGGATGAATGGTGATCTACATCTAGCACCTAAGTAGCCTAACTTCATTTAGCATATTTACACAGGAAGCTGTGACTAAACTTTTCCATGAGAATTAAACAAATAGAAATAAAAAAAACACAAACCTTTTAGTGTTAAGCGTTAAATCTAAGTCTAAACTAATTAGTTAGAACATATTTATTTTGGTGTCAAGGATTCCATGTCTTCATGCTCACAAGACCCAGGTTGCTTAGCCTGGCTCTTTTTCATGTTTAGAAAATGTGTACTGTACATATACAACTTTAATAGCTCAAAATTTCATTTTTTGAGGTTGATCTTTTTAAAGGGTACTGTGCAATAGTTTGAAGCGACCATAATGGACTCTTTCTGCTTGTTTGTCCAGTTAACATGATTGATAGATGACCTAGAAAATGATATTTTTTTTATAGTTTTGACACAAATTTGGAGCAAATAACCTTATTAGCCAGGAAAATGTTCAGCACATTCACACACTTAATGAAGCTTAAACAGTCTTGTCTGTGTATTTCAGGATGAGGCAGTGTAAAGGTTGGAGCCTGTTGCTGCTGATGCTGTTGGGCCTGGGATCTTTGGCCCAAAAGCTGCCCACGAGAGATGAAGGGCTCTTTCAGATGCAGATCAGAGACAAATCGCTGTTCCACGACTCCTCTGTCATACCAGACGGAGCAGAGATCAGCGGCTTCCTGTTCAGGGACACACCCAAAAGGTAAGAGCGCCGGAGACAGACTAAACGAATGAGGTAATCGCTGAGTTCAAAGCCGATGACACTCAGTCATACCTGCACAGACACCTCTTACAAATCCAAACAAGGTAAAATCTCCCCTTGTAGTACGACCTTTGAAATTGAGACGAAAACTAAAGACCGTAGTAGTTGAGATACAAAAACATCACCAGGTTATTGAGCCATGTTGTTTCAGGAAAGTCATACACTTTTCACAGGTTATCGTCACACAACGAGTTCATATTGCGCCTATTGTTTTTCTCAGGTACTACTTTGTGGTGGAAGAAGATAACACCCCCCTGTCTGTGACAGTGACACCATGCGATGCTCCTCTGGAATGGAAACTTACCCTGCAAGAGCTCCCGGAGGAGTCCAGTGGAGAGGGATCAGGTATAACTGACATCAGGCAGCCGTGGAAGAGGTTAATGACCTGTTATGTAGAAATAACCCCCACCACACACACACAAGTGGACAATTAACCTACACAGTGATGTAAGGCTTTGTGTTTTGGTAGGTTTTAATTAAGTCACAGTCGTAGTGTCTCGTCTGACCACTAATGAGGTCTGACTCGGCCCAAAACTGACATCTGTAATTTCAGGGAAGCGCCGAACTCTAGACTGTGTACTGAATCAAAGCCATTACATCCCTTTACTTAGGCTGTCTTGGTCTTCTTAAGGTAAATTCTGCTGCTCTTTCTGTCTGTCTCTCTTCCTTCCTTTTTTCCCTTTGCTCTTTTTTCCCCTCACGTTAAAACTTTCTCCATCTGGAGGCTGTCCTTTCAGCACAGGGGATCGTGCCAGATGACTAAAGCGGTGGTTTAGTGCATAGATGCATGACGTGAGCATATAGTTGAATGGCAATATACGAGCACCTGTGTGTGTATATCTGTGTGTGTGTGTGTGTGTGCTTGTCAGAAGAAATATTCCCCAATGATTTATTGGGTTGTTGCACTGCTGAGTTGACACAAGACGTGCCTCAAGAGAAAAGAATTCATTCTGAGCTGAAAGAATAATGACAAATATGACCTCAACACACAAAGTGCCAGCTGTATGTGGTAATTCTGTCTTCGCGAAATGCAAGATGGGCAGCATCAAAGCTCGAAACAGTGGCCCTCTTGCTGGATTAGCAGCCCTTTTTGGTTAGAATTCTCCTGTGGGAGTAAATCTTTGCGCACTAATTTTGAGAACACCACTGAGTACAGTCTCCAGTTGACAAACATAATATTATGGTTTCTCGCTGAAGGTGGAGTAAGAGCTCAGACTGTCTCTCTCACATAGAAACTACAAGGCGCCTCTTTGTAGCACAGCTTCCCAGGGAAGGCCAAGTGAATGTTGGCCTGTGATCTTCGGGGATGTTTGGACTGAAAGCATGGCTGCAGTGTCGGGGGGGATAATCATCCCAGAGATGTTGAGAGTGATCCAACATAATTAAACCTTCTTTAATTGGGGGGAATGTCTATTCGGCAAAGACTAAATCGAACATATTCGAAGATCACTGATGGAGATTTACCCTGGGGTTGGTAATATCAGTTTGGAGGCAGTATTCAGTTAAGAGTTCACGCTGTGTGTGTTTGCTTTTCTTTCCAGGAGAGCCTGAACCTTTGGACCAGCAGAAACAGCAGGTGACGGTGGACGAGGGCACGGAGCTCTTCACCTACAAGGGTAACGACGTGGAGTCCTACGTCTCCACCAGCACGCCGTCCGGCCTCTACCAGCTGGAGCTGCTGTCCACCGAGAAAGACAGCAACTTCAAGGCGTACGCCACCACCACGCCGGAGTCCGACCAGCCCTACCCGGAGCTGCCCTACGACCCCCGGGTGGACGTGACCGCCCTGGGGCGAACCACCGTCACGCTGGCCTGGAAGCCCACGCCCACGGGCTCCCTCATGGGCCAGCCCGTCCAGTACTGCGTGGTGCTCAACAAGGAGCACAATTTCAAGAGCATGTGCGCCGCCGAGGCCAAGATCAGCGCCGACGACGCCTTCATGTTGGCCCCGAAACCCGGCCGAGACTTCAGCCCGTTCGACTTCGTGCACTTTGGCTTCGTGTCCCCCGACAGCGGCTTTGGGAAGGAGAGAGGCCTCACGAGCAACAAGATCTCCCGGGCGTACGCGGCCAAGCCCAAAGCGTCAGACATTCAGAAGGTGTGCATCGGCAACAAGAACATCTTCACGGTGTCGGACCTCAAGCCCGACACGCAGTACTACTTCGACGTGTTCGCGGTGAATTCGGCCACCAACACCAGCACGGCCTACGTGGGAACCTTCGCCCGCACCAAAGAGGAAGCTCGCCAGAAGACCCTGGAGCTGAAGGACGGGAAAGTCTCGGACGTTTTCATCAAGAGGAAGGGCAGCAAGTTCCTGCGTTTCGCCCCCGTGTCCTCCCACCAGAGGGTCACCCTGTTCGTCCACTCCTGCCTGGACGCGGTGCAGGTGCAGGTGAGGCGCGACGGCAAGCTGGTGCTCTCCCAGAACGTGGAGGGCGTGCGGCAGTTCCAGCTGAGGGGGAAGCCCAAGGCCAAGTACCTGATCCGCTTGCGGGGAAGCCGGAAGGGGGCGTCCACCCTGAAGCTGCTGGCCACCACCCGGCCGAGTAGCAAGCAGCCCTTCCCGTCCCTCCCGGAGGACACCCGCATCAAGGCCTTCGACAAGCTGCGCACCTGCTCCTCCGCCACGGTGGCCTGGCTGGGCACGCAGGACCGCAACAAGTACTGCATATACCGCAAGGAGGTGGCCGACAGCTACGGCGAGGAGCAGCGGCGCCGGGAGCAGAACCAGTGCGCCGGGCCGGAAACCCGCCGGAAGGCCGAGAAGGTCCTGTGCAAGTACTTCCACAGCCCGAACCTGCAGAAAGCTGTGACCACAGAGACCATCACAGGCCTGGACGCGGGCAAGACCTACCTGCTGGACGTTTACGTGGTCGGACACAGTGGCCATTCAGTAAAATACCAGAGCAAACTGGTGAAAACAAGGAAGTACTGCTAAATGACTTTGCAGAGAAGAAATCTATTATATATATATATATATATATAAATATATTAAATAAGTTTATTTAACACTAAGTGATATTCTACTAAGGAGTGTATACAGACTGACTACTCACGCAACTGGTGGGCCAGTGGCAGTGACTGAACTGTTTGTAGAGAGAGATATCAACCTGTATATTTATGTTTACATTTTCTCGGCGGCGTGTCCGAGCGGCCCATGGCGTGAGCTGCTTTTGTCACCAGGCCCCGTTGTCCTGACATCACGCTGCCGCTCGGGAGGCAGAACCTTCAAAGAGGATCACGTTTCATCTCGTATGTTTCTTTGGCGCTGCATGACATTTGCTTTCGTCCGTTGTATCTGTCAGCTCCTTCAGCTTACGCATCCCGACGTAATGGAGGAGATCCCGACGTGCCGCTTTGTATAGATCTCTGCAAATGTACTACGCGTTTTAGCAGGACTTTAAATTATTTTATACTTCCCTTCTATCTTTTTCTTGATTGCCTGTTGTTTTTTCGTCGATGGCAGTAATAGCCGTTCCGAGAAAGTTCCAGTTTTTTTCTGAGGAAGTTGTCGTAGTTCGGACATTCCCTTATGTATCGCAGCCGGTGTTTGCTCTAGAGCTCATCTTGTAAATGTATTCTGTGCTGGAGACGTGTGTTATTATCACTGTATCGCTCTGTCCGTCGGCGTGTGGGTGCGAGCGTGTGTGCGCGTGTGTGTATGTGTCACATGTACAGAGCTGTCCTGCCAATATTCATGTACATAAAGACTAAATATAGAACAAGTAATCCCTGTGTGTCACCCTGGGTGTCATGTTCTTTTGCCAAGCAGGTATTTCACAATTGAGATGAACAAGAACAGTGCACCATTATCCCCCAGACACCTAAAGCAAGCTTACAGGAGCAAAACTTCATCGTTAGATCATTTCATAGATTATAAGAAGTGGTCATTCGGGGTCCTTTTTGTGAGCACTTCTTAATTTCTGAAGAGGAAATAGATTCATTAAATTGTACTTTGATTTATAAATTATTTTATCTGTGATCGAATAAAGCAATGGGGCTGTAGAAGGTGAATATTGATGCACGAGGTGACAGTTAAATACTGGCTTCTGACCCTTTTATAACTTATTTCATACTCAATTCGGAATGCAAGCTTTCTGTATTATGCTTAACAATGTGAAAATAAGAACTACATGTGCCACTAGAGATATGATCTACACACAATTTAAAGTGAGAGTATCCTTTCTATTTCCTGGGGAATACAATCCTAAACCAAACCTTACACACAAAACATCATAAAACATAGTATGGGAAGACAAAAACTTGGTTTTGATCAATATATATGATGAAAATCATATGGATATCAGCCGTCAGTTGGGACAGACTTCAGTCCAACATGCAACCCTGTTTGGAATAAGCGGTGTAGAAAATGAATGGATTTCAGTTTATTGAGAGAAAAAATGTAACAATACTAAATAACCACATATTTTTTAAAAAGCCCCCAACAATGGCCAAATAAGTATGGATTTACTTTTGTATTTATAATTTTTTGGTCATTCATTTCTGAACAATTTCTTATTTTCTAATCTTGTTCGAATTATGTTATTGTTATTTTAATGTAGACTTGAAAAGTGGGAGATTTGCGCCAAAACACAGAATATGTCACTTCAGGCCGGTCCAAATCAGATGGAAAAAAAAAACTCTTTCATTCCAAGTTAGCAAGCTCAACACAGCTGGACATTTGTTTACACAAAGTTTTTTTTTACCTGAAAGAACCAAGAAAATCAATGTTGATTAGTATGTATTTAATACTCACTCATAAAAAAAAGTCTCCTAACATGAGGTCTTTTACATCTGTATGGATTACGTAGACTAAAAGTACTTTTTGTTTGATTATTTATCCTTTTTTTTATTGTTGGAGAATCATCACAAATTGTGTTTTTTACTTTTACACTTAGATCGGACATTGAACCTGACAAAGCTGTATTCTAACTTTGATTCTGAATTCATAAAACTTCGCAAATTCTTAATCTGAGCCATGATACACAACTTTTTTTGTTGTTGTTTCAATGCAATGCAATGCAATGCGCAGTCTAAATATAAACCAGTGGCAAATGAAAAGAACTACCAAAAATCAGAAACAACTCTTCCGTGCACTGCTGTGATTACTGCACCACTTATGGGTATGACATGGCCCCACATGTCTGTCTCCACTCCTGGCCTGCCCCACACATATATACAGAACGTTTACATCAAAGAGCTGCACTCATTACTGCGCAGAAGATAAACTGAGCTGGTCCTGCAGATGGGGAGCTCTCGGAATAGAGCTTTCTCTGTATGTTCGTGTTTGCATAATTGTTTATGAGAAGATTTTCTGAGGCACGCTGGAAAAAATAGAAGCATACACCCCTCCATTCCCCATCAACCCCTCTATCCTAGACCTCTTGAGCTGACCAGAAAGCAGGCTGTTTTTTAAAAGCTTCACAGCTGATATCCTTCACACATGTAGAATAACATTTGAGCGGGCCTGGCCAGCTTTATTAGTGGCAGTTTACAGGGATACTCCTGACACTCCCACCCCTCTCTGAAAGCTCCTCCACATTGTTCCAGGGCAACGACAGGTTAATGGAAGCCAGGTGGAGCCTCCATTGCATTTCCTTCGACCGGGAGCTCTTGACTGACAGCGAGCTGCGGTGGTAGAATTGGAGTGAAGCTACCCAGAATCGGTGTCACGACGAAAAAACACGGCAAGGCTTCGAGAAACAGTTGCTTTTTTTTCTGGGCCACAACAGATAGAATGAACTTTCCCGTCTACCTAAGACTGCTCGGTTATGTATCTGGCTTTTCTCTTTGCTGGTGTGTGTTCAAGTATGCACTGGCTAATCAGGGAGCCCAAGAACTGGAGCAAATTTAAGCAATTATAGAAGAGTAGTCTGTGGAGAAAGTTTTAATTTTCCACGACAACTGTATGAGTTACTTCTGTGATACTTACATCTTATTTTTGGTTTTATGATGAACACTCTGGGGTCACAAGAAGAAGAAAAGGGATCTTTTACATTCTATGCTAATGATAAACAGGGAAATAGTGTTACATCTATATAGCAGCAGCATCATTCAGTAAAATCCTCTGAACCATACTCAGAAGATGGACACCCTGCATTTAAAAATAAATCATAAACCAAACTGAAAAGTACATTTTCATCCTGCCAAAGTGAACTATTAAAGGCTATCATGGAGTCAGGCTGGCTTCCGAAGAACTTTAAACTTCAAATAACTGTGCTTTGTGTAAGATGCGGCAGGTTTGTTTGTCTGTTTAGGGTAAAATAAAGGAAGCAGCTTCCCAATAATTTGCTGTCTTGCACCTCTAAAGTACAGTGAAGTTACTGTAGTAGAGTAGATTGCTCCTATTTCACTTCCTGTTAAGATTTGATACGTAACACAATAAGTAGGTATGTTTTACTGTTTTAACATTTGATACGTTGTCAGATTCTGTTGTGTCTCCGCTTGTGCACTAGCTGGTCTACTGTAGCTGGTAGTTTTATGGGTTACCAGTTAGCCTAACGTGATTTGAAGAGCAGACATGGAACCTAGCTTTGTTTTGAATCTGCCCTTCATCCTCTCTAATGTCCATTATTTAATTTCTTGTATAATAAAGCTTTTTTTCCCCACAACATCTGAAGTTAAAATTGTTTTCACATTTCGCAAAAGTTGGTGGTGGGAGATCTTTAAAGTTAGCTTTTGGCAAACAGAGCTCAAATAAGGAGGGGAGTTTAGCAATATTCGAAACTATTGTAAAAGCATACGTGGTGCAATGCCCCAAAAACCCCTAAAAGACTTTAAAAAACTGCATCTATTCTCCATCATCACTCTTTTTTCTGACTAAGTTTTTGCAGTAGGTAATTATGAGTTTTTTGTACATGTGGGTGAACACACTGGCTGCTCAACAGAGAAATGAGGGACATTTTGGACAGAGTTTGTGAGAAGAGAGCAGTGGCTCATAAATGATCCAGACAGAGACACACTGTTAACAGGCCGACACACTAGAAGGACTTTGAGTCCAAAAGTTACCACTAAAAGAAGTGCAAAATGCAAAAAAATCCAATACCATTCCTTCAAACACTGGTGAAGCCTGGCAAAAGAAACCCCCACAACAAACGTAAAAGAAAAGAATGTGAAATTAAATCACGGGACTCAAAATCTTCAGTGCGAAAAGGGAGCCCCATCTTGGAAGAACGGAACATACTAAATGAAAATGATTCCACTTCGGCGACTCCGGGGAAAGATCATTATTAAGGATCAGGTCCAAAACCAGTTCTACACAGCTCTGATTTTACCAGAGGGCCAAGCGAAAAAAAAAAAAAAAGCACAAAAAAAAAAACCGGAGGCTTCCTTCCAAACCCATCCTGACCATGAGCCCATTCCCAGGAAGGGTGGAGAGGGACCAGTGGCCCTGGGGCATTGCTCGTCTCAGCCGATCTCCATTAGGATAACTCAAGTAGTAGAAAAAAGAAAAAAAAAAAGACCGGCTCCTCAACTTTCAGTTGAGTTAATTGTTTATTCAAATGCCTGCACTTGAACAAGGTTTCTGCATGTGTGTGTGTGTGTGTGTGTGTGTGTACTCCCTGCCATCGTTCGCTCTCGCCTGGGCTGCCTAGGGGTGGTCCCCCTGCTCTCTCCTGCTCATGAAATCACATCTAAGTGCCTGTAATTTCTCATGCTTCATCAGTACAGTAATTTTCAAAAGGCTCCCTCTGAAGACCCTCCTTATAGCGGCGACCCAGGGTTGTCAAATGAAAACATCGTTTATCCAGTGGCCTCGAAAGCTTCAGGAAATGGTTTGTCGGCTATTCAGCGACAGCCTTGAAAAAAAGGGAGCTGCGGTGAGGGACTGCAGGGGTTTGTGAAACATGAAACAAAAGGTGGTCTGGCCCTTCAATCCACAGTATCAGGTTTGGGAGATTTCAGAAAAATGCACACGTTCCATTTGGAAAAATCTTGTATGGAACCATTTGTATGTTTGCCAAAGTGAGGTTTTCCCCCCCAGTGAAAATATTTACTTAAAAAAAAAAAACTCTGAAAGTATTTATTTCAATGCAATCCTTTCCTTCACCGTGTCCTAAATGTGGTTTCTGTATTTTTTGGCCTTCGGAGACTGGCAGCGCAGTCATTGAGTGACTCGGTTCCAGATTCTGAGTACGCTCAGTCTTCAAAGTCTCCGACCTGTGAGGCTAATCATCCGAATGTCTTTGGCCTTGTCGACACCCGCAAAAATAATTCTTCAAGATCCCCGTACTCCTCACGAAAGGTGTTAAAACGAAGCTTTGTTTATCATTTAATGTATTTAGGTAATGTATTTAGTCCTGGACAAATGAACAAATTAGTTTAAAAAGGAGTTGCAACTGTTTTTTCTCAACTCTAACTTTCATTACACATTTTATGTGACATGTTCGGTCCCAACTAATGATGTCTTGCTCAAATAAGACAAAACTTTCTCCAGAATTTATAATCAGCCCCTAAATATAGATATGGACATCTCCAGAAAAGCCATCACAGAGATGGCCAAATGGGTGATAGAAGATTTATCCATTCATTCATTTATTCATTCACTTTTCCTGCATTTCAGCTTTTTTGTCCACAAGCAAACATGCTCTCTGCTTGCATTAAATGTAGAATTGAGATATTTTCCAAAGTAAAGACATCCAGTGGGACACTTGTTTCTACTGGCTGGTGTTTCGTGTAAAGCTGGAAAGTATTTTAAATGCACACAGTTACCCTGGTTTACAGTGGAATTAGGCCTGGACCATTGAGCGGGGCAAGTAAACGTGCAAGAAGATCGAACAAACATTCAACACCATCTCGTGCATGCCACCATATATTTTTCACATAAATGCTGTTTTGTGATTCTGGAGTGGAGAAACACTCATGGGGACCCTTCAATGCATACTCCAGGCTTAAACCTGGTCATGTGTGCTGCTTTTGAGACTAATCAAAG